ATATATATATATATATATATATATATATAGTGTGTGTGTGTGTGTGTGTGTGTGTGTGTGTGTGTGTGTGTGTGTGTGTGTATGTATTTGTATAGGTAAAGTATTATATATATATATATATATATATATATATATATATATAATGTATATGTATATATATGCAGTATATATATACATATATATATGTATATATATATATGTATATATGTATATGTATATATACATATATATATACATATATATAAATATATATATATACATAAATACATATATATATATACATATACATAAATATATATATATATATAATATATATATATAATATATATACATATAATCAAATCCTTCAGGTTGCATGCTCTGACAATGCAGAATTTGTGTTGGAGAGGAATCAGAATACTGTTTTTTTGTGTTTTTTCTAGTCTTTTAATTCTAGTTTTATTTTACAACTCGAGTGAAATTGTGGGAGTGAATACATAAAGCTGAAATGATGCTTTAGTTTAGTTAACACGTTTCTTCAATAAAATGTTTTAATATCGTGGATTGCCTCCCTCCAACTTCCACTTATCTATTCAAAGCTGATTACAATTCAACTAAATGATAAAAGGTCTATGTAAGCGGATGTTTTTTTTAAGGGAGATTTGAATTTTGCGCTGTCCATTGGCGCTGTTTACACTGTCTATGAGTTTGTCTTAAAAAGGCACATTCTGACAAGTAAAATAACGTGAAGGAAAACACTGAGCCAGACGTCATAAAGATCATGGAATTTAATTAACATCACGGCTCGTATTAATGAAGCAATTATCTTCTTCCTTCTTCATTGTTGGTTGTTTTATTATAGTCAACATTACTTTTTATTATCATTAATGAGTGTTCTCATCATCAAAATTATTTCAAAGATAATAATAACGATTATTGTTATTGTAATCGTTATGATAACTATTAGCAGTATCATAAGTATCAGCCCAATTATAAAGATGAGGGAGATAATGTTAATAATGATGATACTAATGACAATAGTGGTGATAATGATGATGCTGACGATGATGGTGATGATGATAACGATGATGATGATAATGATGACGTTTTGCTCTGTATCAAAACACGCCGGGTATCGAAAAAAGACAACAGCCAAATTTTCGTTCATATAACACCTTATGAAGAGTTTCGTGACTCAGTTTCGAAATCAATTTGTATTTGCAGTCTCATTTGCAGAGCAACAATATTTAAAAGGGACATAAAAGCGCCAGAAGTTGATGGAATGGAAAGTAAACACACACGTGAGGGATATTGCTCTAATATTTTCTTTATCGGAGCGTCTTTCATGTTTGATGTTCATTTTGAAGTGAAGGACGTAGTTAAATTACTTTGAAGAAAAAAACTATATATATATATATCATCAAGTGGGACTGTATTTTTGTTAGCACGGCATCTGTTTCCTTTCGAGTCGTATTGTACTGCATTATATATCTAGAACTGATAAAATATATCTAGAAATGGCGATCTATACAATTCATGTATCTAGAAATGATAATATATGCATCCAGAATTGTTAATCTATGTATCTCGAATTTATAATTCGTGTATCTAGAATTGAAATTCTATGTATCTAGAAATCGTAGTCTATATATTCAGAATTGGTGATCTCTGTATCTAGAATTGATTATCTATGTCTGTAGAATTGATAATCTATCTCTATGAAAGATGTATCTAGAAATGGTAATCTATATATTTAGAATTGGTGATCTCCGTATCTAGAATTGATAATCTCTGTGCATAGAATTGGGAATCTCTGTACCTAGAATTGGTAATCAATGCATCTGGAATTAGTAATCTATTTTGAATCTATTTCTATAATTTCATGTCAGGAAAAAAGCAGAAGAGAAGATCACACATGCACAATGTGGATGCGACAAACAGCACATTTCTCTTTGTGTTATCTACGTTGTTCCCTTTAGTCATTTCTAGAACGTATATTTTCCTCTCACTTGTTCTTTATGTATATTTTACATTGCTCTCTTGTTGTTTGATGTCCGCCAACCCACGAGCGGTTTTGTTCAGTGTTAAAATTTCCTCTTTCCTTTACATACGTATGTGATACTTCCTTTTTTTAAATTATTTTTTTCATTATCAATTTGAACGCTATTATTCATTTATTAACTACCTTCTTTTTTCTTCTTAACCTTCTCTTTTCGTTAATAATTTCGTTCTAAATGTCCGTTCTTTCAACTCTCTCGTTGGCCTTTTCTTAGGCGAAGAATTATGCGCTCGTCTGTCTACCTTCTCTCGCTGCGGTCTGTAAGCATTTGTCCTTGCCATTCTTTAGGTGTGCTCAGTATTTCTGTTCGCGCTCCAACCCAAGGGATTACGGGAATGTTTGCTTCCAGACTCAGCACAACGCGTCCCCGGTTTGCAGATAGCTCNATACATATATATATGTATATATATATATATATAAGTAAAATATGGTATCTTTGGAAAATTCAAGGTCAGCCTGATTTTGAGAAATTATGTTGTCTGCTCCAGTACAAGATTTTCTAATGTCTTCAAATATACTATAGAGCAATTTGTTCCAGAACTTTGAAGCAGCTGAATAACACATGCTAAATGATGTTACTTCCATACACTAAAACAAGGGTTCATAATTTATTTTTTATTTATTTTTCAGCCATCAAAATTACTGTCTGCCATTTTTTTTATATTTCCACAGGTTAATGCCCTTGTGCTAAACAATTTCTATATCTGCTTATAGGGTGCAACCATTTTTTAAATACACATTGGACAATTAATATATTCACATACAAAGAGGTTAACACTGTTATAGGAAATATTATCCTATTGGACCGGATGACGTTGCAATCATGTCATGGAAAAACTTAAGTCGAGGGGCGGTGACATGAATATGGTGTCATCGGGCAAATTGGCCACAGCCGTCATGAGCAAAGGCCAGGGTGACGGAGACTTGCCACAAGTGCACAAACCTCTTGGAGTGTGATTTGACTCTTTGGTGCTTAGAAGGGGTTTTAGCATTATTCCCATTGATAAACGAATGTAGGATGTAACGTGCGTAAGCAGTGACTGGAAGAGCACCAGCTCCAGGGAGGACACCATTCCATGCTTCGCACAGTATTCCTGACCGCTGTCACCAGCGGCGCAGGTGGTATTACATAAATTGAAAATTATAAAAAGATGATATATGACACAAATAACAGATGTTCCATTTTTCTTCCTTGCACAGCATTACTTACTGCATAGAGCAATGATATGGAGTCTGTGCAAGGAAAATAAGCTACTTCCATCTGGATAAAGCAAATCAAAAGACAAATATGGACATTGGAAATGGCAATAAAGCTTAAAAAGTTTACACAAAAAGGGGGGCACAGAGTCTTGTCACCGCTCATGGGTGTTCGTGCACACTGGCCTACGTGCAGCAAGCCCAGGATGTTGTCCACTTTCGTAACCTATTGCCCATGTTTTTGGCAGTGTGATTTCTGTGATGCAATTAAATTCTACAATGTTCCTCATACATCAGTGAAAGCAAATACATGTTTTTAAATGGAATATGAATACCCAAAAAATTTCTTTACCAGATCAGCAGTGTTTTCGCTAAACAACACACACTTCAGAAATTTTACTTGATCTTTCAAAGGATGTTTTTCATTTTCCATATAGTTGTTACAGTAAATAATACAAAATAGGTACCCATATTAAATCTAGGTTTTATTTGGTTTGGGGACAGAGAAACACTGAAATATTCCTGGCAATAACTATTTCCATTAACTCCTATGATCAGAGGATGTGACCATCACATCACATGAAAAAATTTGACTTGAGGGGCAGGTGAAAAGAACATGTCATGGGAAAAATTTGGCCTGGGGTGACTCAAACTTGCTGTTCTGAACATTTTGGCTGAAGGCCAGGATGATGGAAAGACTCACCAAGAGTACATGACTTCTTGGCAGGCGAATTGACTCACTTGGTATTTAGAAAAGGGCTTTTGCATTATTTCCATTGATAAACAAGTGTGGAATGTAATTTACATAAGCCATGACTAGAAAACCGCCTGCTCCAGGTGTACCGCCATAAATGGCGGTACAGGTTGAATTAAAGAACAACAGAATAATGAATATAATGAAATAAATAAATAGTTGAAGTTACACAAATCATTTTTTTCTTTACTTATTATCACGATGTTATGGACTAACTAGAGACATGATATTGTTTGTGCAAGGAAAACAATCTATTACTAAATGGATAAAGCAAATCAATGACAAGTGTGCCCAGCCTCCATAGAATTTCATCATTCCAGAAAAGACTTCAGTGTCTACAATAACCTCCTGACTGAACTACACATCGTAGAAACTTGTGAATTCTACGAGTACTATCACGATTGAAAATTTCAAGAAAGAAGGTAATACTCTTAGAAAAGCCATCCCATCCATTCTATTAACTGTAATGTCATATAACCATTCCAGCTACCCCATTACCCCATATTTAAAAAGAAATAGAAAATTTGACAAACTTTCTAATCACATATTCCACTATTAGTTTAGTCAATGGTGTACAAGAGATGTAATTATAGACAGATGAAGATTTAAATTGGGGGAAGGAATTACTGTAACTGAAACTCGGTAAATATATATTGTCAATTGTGACAAAAATTGTAAACCATACAATTATACATTTTCTCATTAATACAATTTACATGTTCATAGCATACAATCATCATCCATTTCACTTGATTTTTCTGAGGAACAAAATTCAATTGAATACCAATGGCCTACCTACGTACATTTTAAAATTTAATTGGTTGCTTCAGTATTTATTTTTTTTCTTCATATTTTTAATGAATTCATTGACCATCACTCAAACAAGGTCAATTCTTAATTCAATGCCCATCACAAACAAAGTAAAACTTCAATTCATTTGCCATCACACAAACAAGGTCAAAAAACACATCACTAAAATGTTATTCACAAACTAACCTTTGCTAAAGGTGATCACTTGCAACATCCAGCAGTGCCTGTGCTGGCTGGTTATTGGACAGGCTGACATCACCCTAGGAGAACCGCTTGCAGTACTGTCACTCTTTGGCAGTTTCTTTGCTGTTGGATTTGAACAAAGAATAAACACTCAGTTTCATGTGTCATTTAATGTTTATATTTCTAATACATATTTTCATATTCTACGGGTTGACATAAGTAGTCTAAGTTAATGCTATGAAGAATATAAAAAATCATGTCAATTATTTAACCTTCTATTTAGCAAAAAACACTAGCAGGCATTTTTTTTACAAAAAGGGGCATACCTATTGCCAGGAAGATGTCATTGACATTCATAGCAGTCTTAGCAGAGGTCTCCATAAAAAGCAAGGAGTTTTCTTCTGCATAGGTCTGGGCCTCTTCATATTCAACCATCCTCTTGTTGGCTAAATCTGCTTTATTGCCTGCCAAGGCAATAACAATGTTCGGAGAAGCTTGCCGTTGAAGTTCCTTCACCCAGGTCTTAGCACGACCAAATGTGTCCTGAAATTAGCATTTTATATTGCCAGCTATTCTCTCCTTTATATAATATGCTACCATTTCTATGGTCAATTCCTGAACAGGGAGTATCACTATATACTTTTTCCGTTATTATCAGGAATAGATGCTAAGTTTCTTTAATCTCAGTTAAAATGTGAAGTAGAATTGAGGTTTGGATATAAAAAAAAAATAATCATCATCAAAAATATTCAAACTGGGTGAAATTCATTAGAAAAATTCCAAAACATTCTTAAAAATAAACTAACAGATATAAAACATGATTGTCATCTTCAATAAATTAAATTCCCGAGAGAGAGAGAGAGAGAGAGAGAGAGAGAGAGAGAGAGAGAGAAGAGAGAGAGAGAGAGAGAGAAGAGAGAGGAGAGAGAGAGAGAGAGAGAGAGAGAGAGAGAGAGAGAGAGAGAGAGAGAGAGAGAGAGAAGAGAGAGAGAGAGAGGAGAGAGAGAGAGAGAGAGAGAGAGAGAGAGAGAGAGAGAGAGATGAGAGAGAGGAGCAGAGAGAGAAAATTACTATTTCCAAAATTACAAAATAACTAAATACAAAATACATAAAAGTTAAAGGAAAGGAAAATATAAAACCAGCAAGCTATGGGATGAAAACAAGATAAAATACTTACTTGATTAGTAATGTCATAAACAACAATGGCTGCCTGAGCACCACGATAATACATGGGAGCTAGACTGTGGTATCGTTCTTGACCGCAGCGTGTCCCAAATCTCAAATTTAACTGTGGTATCATCCAAACATACTGTCTGTGTCAGAAATGCAGCTGAAATCAAAGAAAACTTCCTTGAGTTATAATTCATAGCAATAAATTGATTCATAAAATAATTTTTTGGGTGTGTAACAAATTTGATTATGAATAGTCAACTTTTTCATTACTCATCATAATCATCATAAAAAAGGATAATCATAATTATCATTATCATCATAATAAGTATTACTAATTATCATAATAATAAAATAAGTCAAAACAAATACAAGAAAAACAATAATCATACTCAATCAGAATAATGATAATGAAAATTATCACAATAGCAAAAACAATAACGTTACTGACAACAATAACAACAACAATAACGTTACTGACAACAATAACAACAATAATAATAATAATGATAATAGCAATAATAATAATAATACTATAATAAACCTGTAGTTACTCACTGCTATATCAATATCTTTTTGCTTTATATATCTATATCTATATGAGAGTTGACCAAGAGTTGAATAACAGGTACTTTTATGATGATTGCTTTTTAAGCTGGAGATTGGAGCAATTTGCCCTTTCATTGTTTATTGCCATTTTATACTCACCCAGAGCTTTAGAGCCCATTAGAAAAGAAATGAATAATAATAAATAAACATCCTCAAAAACTAGGTTAAGGGTATATTTTTGTGCAACTTCAAAGTTAGTTCAGCTTAAAAATATAACCTAACCCTAAATTTTACCCTTTCATATTCATTTTAAAAATCTGAGGCACAAATTTCACTTTCTTTTTTATTCCATTGGTATATGACTCATCTCTCAACTCATAATAGTGCTAAATGAAATTCTCAAAACTATTTTTTTCAATTTCTCATAAAATTGATTTCAAAAATCTTTTTAACTGGTAATGCTCATCTTGTTGCTCATTCATCTATAACAAAAAGTTAGGCCAAGTACAATACCCTGTTTGAATTTCATGTATCTCTACTTGTTTTTCAGCTTTACACCTCATTATCTACTTTATCTACTATGGCAAGCACTGCTATTTACAAGACACTGTTTTTTATACCAAAATCACTTGTTTTGCAGTTGGATCCAGCTTAAACTATGGCTTGTTTTAGATGGGCTTACATACTAAATACATATTAGTATTCTACCCAACCCCTTATCACCTGATGTGCTGAAGCTGACAAAAATACAACCCATTTTTAAAATATTCTTGTTTTATTGTTACTATCCTTTGGATTAACATATATAAATTTGAATCTAGCATATGTAACTGAATTTCGTGTATATCATATTAGAAAGTCTTTGTCATCATAAATCTTTCCTCTGTACCATGGCATTACTAAAAAATAAAAGCACAAGGGATGGGTTACACCTCACTTATAACCATCTACCTTAACCCCTTGGTGTTCACTGAGTACAGCCTGCCCTTCCCACTCACTCACTAGAGTGAGTCATGACGTGTATACCAGTGCCCGCCATGAAGGATAGGCTTTCCATGATGGCTATAGCCATGCCTGTTGAACATGGTGTTAACCCTGACTATTCTATTTGCCACTGACTATGCACAGAGTTGTTGGAGCCTATCTATAACAACTAAGGAACTATGTCACAGTTTAACTTATTTCTGTATAAAATATATACTGATTATAGAAATGTAGTATAAAGTTATCTTGTTACTTCAAAATATGTGATTCACTAAATGGCACAATCTAATACCGTCAAAATTTAATGGGAAAAGATTATTTAGTTAATGCATCAGGAATAGTATCCTGCTCATGAAGTCCCTGAACTAATTATCAACATTTCTTGACAAAGATTCAAGCTGTATTTTCAGAAAAAAAAAAAAAAAAAAAAAAAAAAAAAAAAAAAAAAAAACGAAATGGTAATAAGCAAAGCAGAAAATTTACCTCCGATAGTTGACTCCTGATATTCATGAAACTGGCCCTTGACAAATCTTAATACGAGAGAAGACTTTCCGACTGCTGATTCACCAAGCAGAACAAGCTTGAACTGGCAGATCTTTCCCTGGCCGTTGGGTCGCTGAGCTGTTCCTCTCTGTGCCATAATTCTTTATCTGTAAGAAGGAATCTACTTAGCACAAAGCTAAAGATTTATTTCAGATGGAACAAAAACTTTTCTTTCCCTGCAGCCAGATAATACCATAGTTATCTGTTTACAAGTCAGTTTGTCCAAGAATATCTGAAAGTTAGACTTTAATTTGAATTTACTCATGATTTTTCATCTTTTACAATTTTACAGAGACAAAAGAAAGGTAATACTTTATGTATTTTCTATTATGTACATTTCACACTTTCAAACAACTTTTCATGGATAACAAGTACCAAGCTTCCCAACTTCAAGTTAATTTTTCATTGTAAATGCAAACACACACACCACAATACATTCTATCTGGACGAACTTAGTGTGGTGAATATCTAAAACTTAAAAATCCTGCAACCTTGTAAAGGCCTAGGAAAGACATAAAAAAATCACAAAATTAGTAAAGAGTTATAGGTGGATCTAAAACTTGAATCAGCACACCATATATATAAAAAATGTGAATTGTGTTTATTATTTAAGTGGACAACAGCGCATTACAGATATCAACTATATGTTTGCAAAAGGCATAATTTTTGATAAGGTACTGGTATTGAAGTTCATTCAGAATCACTTTTTCCTTCTTGCAAAAATCAATATCTAATCTTATGAAATGGTTTTCCTATGTAAAATACCTAATACTTTGGACAGGCTTCACTATAAAAAAAACATAACTGGTATTTAAAACTACAATGTTAAATATATTTTACTTTGTTTGAAAAATATTTAAAACATCAAAAAAAAATCCCTTACTTTATATATCAAGAAAAATTGAGTATCCAATGAAATGTGACTTTAAGGACTAAATTCTTCTTGCAATCAGTGTCTGCAGACCAAGGAAGTTCCTATATGCAGTTACACGAGTGTATAACAGTGTACACTAATGTACATTTGTACATGCATTAACTACTTAAGTTAATTACCTAAATTTTACAGTCCTGCATTTAAGTGGTGACATGCAACTTGGACCATCAAATGACAAATTCATAATGTTGCTGTTATCTAGTCATTATTGCCAGATACACCAGAAGATGTGTACTGCTACAACCTGTCAGGTGCACAAGACATACAATTCTGATGGTGTGTTAGGTGTAGATACTATGAAAGCATCTCTGCTGACAGTGGGCATAGGCCAATCAGTATCCATTAATTCCCTGCAGTCTATACCCACAAAATATGGAAAGTAAAATGACTTTTCATGGTTTAGACCTGCCACAAATAATTTGCTATAATAAATAACTCTGCCCTAAGTAAATGACCCACTTTCTAAAGAAGCACATTCCACTATAACAACAATACATACAAAAAAAAAACTTTTTTTGTATATAACTTTTAAATAACTGCAACAATCCAAAGGTACTCTAGATGTGCTAATTCAAATATTGCAATCATGTCAATAAGGATATTTACTATAAACTGAAATAAATGGAAAAAAAAACAAAGTATGGGAAAGATTAAAGAGAAAGAACAAGAAGGAAAGAAGGGAGAAAGGATGATATGAGAATGTAGTACAGAAGATGTGGGGGAACAGGAGAAAGAGGAGGAGGAGAAAAGGGAGAAGTGCAAGGAGGGATGAAGAGGAGGGAGAGCAGAAGAGCAGGGAATAGAGAAAATGGGAAAGAGGAGAGAGAGAGGGAGAAGAGAAGGGAGAGGGAAAGGGAGAGGGAGAAGGGGAAGAGGAGGGAGAGGAAGAAGGGGAAGAGGAGGGAGAGGGAGAAGGGGAAGAGGAGGGAGAGGGAGAAGGGAAGAGGAGGGAGAGGGAGAAGGGGAAGGAGGAGGGAGAGGGTGAAGGGGAGAGGAGGGAGAGGGAGAGGGAAGAAGGGGAAGAGGAGGGAGAGGGAGAGGGAGAAGGGGAAGAGGAGGGAGAGGGAGAGGGAGAAGGGGAGAGAGAGGAGGAGAGGGAGAGGGAGAAGGAGAAGGGGAAGAGGAGGGAGAGGGAGAGGGAGAAGGGGAAGAGAAAGAGGAGGGAGAGGGAGGGGAGAGGGAGAGGGGGAAGAGGGAGAGGGGGAAGAAGGGGGGGAGGAGGGGAGGGGGAGGGAAGAGAGGGAGAGGGGAAGAGGAAGGAGAGGAGAGGGAAACAAGGAGGGAGGGGAGAAGAGGAGGGAGAGGGAGAAAGAGGGAGAGGGAGAGGGGAAAGAGGAGGGAGAGAAGAGAGGGAGAGGGGGAAAGAGGAGGAGAGGAAGGGAGGAGAGGGGGGGAGCGAGAGGGAGAGGGGGGAAGA